TGTACAGCATATGGATGCCTTGGTTTCATTTGTGCTGAGCGAGGCCACGCATGCAGCTCTAGTCCAGCTGCTGGAACACAAAGCAAAGCTCACAAGCACTGCTTTTGAAGCATTCCTCCTCACATGCCACTACTTCCACTTCTTGCAGCAAAAGCCCATCCACCATGCACAAAGGATGCTGGTTGTAGTCTGGCTGAATATGGCACACATTAAGTGTTTGGCATGAAAATGACCTGCAGCTTCATGTTCAGCAGAGATCATGCACTTTCCCAAGAGCTGGAGGGACTGTCTATGTAAAACACAACTGTGAGGTGCTCTGAAGATGAATCTCCGATCTTATAGCCCAAATCTCCTGTCTTCTCTTATGCAGATGGGGAAGCATGAGGCCAACGCTGAAGTCCTGCTTGGCCTTATCAAAGGCTTCAAGTGGGCCATGTAATAGCTGGCAGGAGCAAGTTTGCTTGCATGGAGCTGTTTCACTCTCCTTCCCCAACCTTCCTGGTGAGGATAATATTGGAGAGAGCAGATGGGGTTTTGCCATTGCAACCCCAGGCTTGCCACTGCTGAGAATGGAATCTTCAGACTCATTTTCCAGTTAAAGTAAGGATTGCAGTATTTCCCTGGCATCCTGTACACATTAAAGCAGCTTGAACTCTTCAGCTGGCAGGTTGTGTAAAAGATTTCAAAAAGGACTTAAACTTTCATTTGTCACTAGGTAATGCCAGCACTGGGAGAGATGCTATGTCACTGCTCGTGTAGCAGGGACAGCCCTACCCTGGGACCCTTCTGGAAGGAGAAGCCTGGTCTCAAGTTAAATTATTTACAGGGGAGAGGATGGACCAAAACTCCATAATCATTTACACTTATTTGATCTTAAAATCAGGAGCATGTTAAGTTTTATTACTTGTCATCTTGATAAGGATTTTTTTTTTAATTTTGCTTTGTGTTGTGTTTTGTTTTGTTGTATCAGTTAGCATTGTGCTATCAGAGAAGAAGGGCTGATGAGAGACTTGGGGTGTATTATGAACATGTCAAAGGAAAATGCAGGTATTTTGCAGGAGGGCATATTTAGTAATGCAACCTGGAAATTTGGCCAACCCTCAGAGAGTCCCCTCCAGCAGAACATCCAGCCACCGTACATCCCACAGGCAGGGCAGTGAGAGAGAAACTGTAATAATACCAGGTCTCCGTGCGCTCCATCCCACAGCTGTCTGGTGGTGCTGGTCTCAGTGCAGAGAGGATGAAGTAGGTAAAACT